TGACACTGCCCTCTACAGCTAAGATGCTGAACAACAGCTCAACCTGGAGCTGGGCTGCCATAAGTCGCCGGCGATGGCGTAGGCTGCAGCCCCTGTGGCAGTGGGTTGCCATGGGCTACCGTATGTAGCCAGCAGCTAGCGTGAGCGGCCAACAGCCGCAGTGAGCGGCCATCCAGAAGCCGGGGACTGATCTGCCTCACCCAGGAAGAGCACAATAATGGTGCCAACTTGGGCCAGTGAAACAACGTCCTCCACAACTAAACTGAAGAACAAAACGACAACAACTTGTCTGTTCCCCTTCCCCCAATTCCCCAGCACTGTTCCCATCCCCCCAATTCCCCAATAAAAATCTTTAAAAAAAAACAACAACAACAACAACAAAAAAAACCAAAATAAAATTAAAAAAACAGACCACCTTCTTACACCACATACAAGAATAAACTCCAAATGGATTAAAGATTTAAATATAAGACCTAAAACCATAAATTTCCTAGAAGAAAACAGAGGCAGTAAACTCTCTGGCATTACTCTTAGTAATATTTTTTTTCTGATAGATCTCCTCAGGCAAGGGGGAAAAAGAAAAAAATAAACAAATGGGACTACATCAAACTAAAAAGTTTTTACACAGCAAAGGAAACCATAAAAAAAAAAAAGGCAACCTACTGAATGGGAGAAGATATTCACCAATCATATATCCAATAAGGGGTTAATATCTACAATTTATAAAGAACTCCTACAACTCAACACCAAAGAAAGAAACAAACAAAAACCCTAACAATCCAATTAAAATATGGGCAGAGTCCCTTAATAGACATTTCTCCAAAGAGGACATACAGATGGCCAATAGATACATGAAAAGATACTCAATGTCACTAATCATCAGAGAAATGCAAATTAAAACCACAATGAGGTATCACTTCACACCTGTCAGAATGGCTATCACCAATAAATCAACAAACAAGTATTGGTGAGGACTTGGAGAAAAGGGAACCCTTGTGCACTGTTGGTGGGATTAGAATTGGTGCGGCCACTATGGAAAACAGCAGGAGGATTCCTCAAAAAATTAATAATAGAACTACCTGGGATTGGCCGAGTGGCTCATTGGTTAAGCGTTGACTTGGGAGCACAAGCTCTGAGCAGCAGGGCTGAAGGATCGGATCCCACATGGGCCAGTGATGCTGCGCCCTCTACAGCTAAGAGGGTGAACAACAGCTTGACCTGGAGCTGGGTTGCTGTGAGCTACCGTGAGTGGCCGGCAGCCTGCGTGAGCTGCTGTCCAATGGCCGGAGACGGATCTGCCTCAGCAGGGAAGAGCACAGCACAATGATCACAATACCAACATGGGCCAGTGAAGCGACATCCTCTACCACTAGACTGAAGAACAAAAGGACAGCAGAACTTGTCTGTTCCCCTTCTCTGATTCCCCAATGCTGTTCCCTCCCCCAACTCCCCAATAAATCTTTTAAAAAAACAAACATAGAACTGCTTTATGATCTAGCAAGTCCAAAACACGAATTCAAAGTGATATATGCACCCCTATGTTCATTGCAGAATTATTTACAATAGCCAAGAAATGGAAGCAACCTAAATGTCCATCAACAGACAACTGGATAAAGAAGATGTGCTACACACACACACACACACACACACACACACACACACACACACTGGAACATTACTCAGCCATAAAAAGAATGAAATCTTACCATTTGTGACAACATGGAGCATGTGAAAGGTATGCTAAGTGACATAGGTGAAACAGAGAAAGACAAATGCCACATCATCTCACTTATATATAGAACCTAAAGAACAAAATGAACAAACAAAACAGAAACAGGCTCATAGATACAGAGAACAAACTGATGGTTGCTGGATGGGTGGGGGCTTGGGTGAAAAAAGAGAAGGGATCAAGAAGTACAAATTGGTAGTTATGAAATAGTCAAGGGTATGTAAAATATAGTATAGGGAATATAGTCAATAATACTGTAATAATTATGTATAGTACCAGGTGGGTATTATACTAATTGGGGTGATTACTTTGTAAGTTACATAAATGTCTAACCACTATGCTGTACACCTGAAACTAATAATATAAAATAATATCGAATGTCAACTGTAATTGCAAATTTAATAAAATAAGAAAAAAAATACAACCCTGATCATGTCACTTCCTTGCTTAAAAATCTTTCAGTGGGGGCGGCCGGTTAGCTCAGATGGTTAGCACGTGTGCTCATAACACCAATGTTGCCAGTTCGAGTCCCACATGGGCCACGGAGCTGTGTCCTTCACAACTAGATTGAAAACAGTTACTTGGAGCTGATGGGTCCTGTAAAAACACACTCTTCCCCAATAAAATAAAAAATATCTTTCTCATCATTCTTAGACTGAATTTCTAAACATGGCTGACCAGACTCTCAGATCTCCAGCCTTATTTCATACCATCATCTCCCTCCCCCTCTCTGTTGTAGCCACATTGGCTAGATTGGATATAGTCGGTTGGCAGACAGCATCCATTCCCACTGTTTATGTATCTTCCTGTGCTACACATGCTGGAAATCTAAAACATTTCCTGACCCCCCCTTGCAGCTAGGGCTCCAGCAATTAGATGCATTTGTTGGAAGATGGAAGTAAGAGATTTGTTGGAAGGCAGAGATCAAATAGTTCTGGCTATTTTTGCTGTAAGATTGTGGAGTCACCAGCATACGTATGGTCTCCTGCTTCAAGGACTTGACATGTCAACTGTCCTGGTGTAGTGCTGGCAGTGGCTTTCTGATCTCAGCATCCAGCCCTTGGGTGGCAGCTTTAGCAATGTGTCCTCAAACTCAACCTTTCCAGTGATGAGCTGGCTCCTTTCTGACTATGAGAGAGGTAGTAAGGTCAGTTCTATGGTGTGCCAGGGGTCATTCCTAATATGCAGCCTAGGGATCATCACCATTTTTAAATACCTAGAGTCTTTCTGTTTCTAATCCTGGAATGATACACTGGACTTCATTTGATTTCTAGAATTGGCCAGGAATCCTCCCACTCTAGGGTTGTTATACTTGTTATCGCTTTGCCTAGGCTAATTCCCCTGCCACTCCTTCACCCCCGCCCCCATTGCTCAATTAACTCCTTATATATCCTTTCTAACTCAGTTCAAACATGTTCTCTGGGATGTTATCCCTGATGCCTAAGACCAGATCAGTTTCCTTTGTTAAACAAGATATCATTGTATGTTTCTTTTAATGCATGATCACATTTTGTAATTAATGGGCATATTTGTGTGATTCTAGATTTTGAGCCCCAGGGACTTGACTATTTTGTTGCATTCCATTGCCTAGAAAGAGTTGGTGCTTAACATACATGTGAATGAATAAATGGAATGGAGGTGGCCAGACTGGAGGATGTTAAGACAAAATCAAGCCTCTTAACTAACACTGACAAGCCCTGTGTCACCTCCTCTTGGCCTTTGTCCAACTCCATCTTCCTTTGACTCCTCGCCAGCCTGAAAGAGCTGTGTGTCCCAGGTCTCTGTACAGGCTGTTTCTACTGCTTGGAGATCTCTTCCCTGGTCACCTGGTTCTTATTCATCTTGCAGGTTTCAGTCAAGATATCATCATCTCTTCTAGACCTGTACTTCAGACAATTCCGTACTGGGTTTTTTTCAAAGTATTTAAAATAATATTATTTTAGAACTTGCTTGTTACTTATCTGTATCTCCCTCTGTAAGTGCACTGTCTTGTTCATAGGTATAAGCGGAGCGCCTAGCACAGGGCCTGGCTCTAATGGCTCTATTTGTTGAAAGTTGAATGAATGATTGTCAGCTAGTCTGCCAGCCTCAGTCTGGGGAATCTCAGCACACTCCGCAGGAGCCCATAACAGTGAGGAATTGTAATTCGGGGGCTGCTAGATCAGGAGAGGAAGCTGGGGGAGGTCTGTTAAACTCCAACCCGTGGCTCAATCCCTAGACTGCCAGGCAGGAGGCCCTAGAGCGGATTCTGTGGGGGATGGGTAGGGGAACAGTTTCCTCCTCAGCTCCCTCCAGGAGAGTTGCGGGGGAGGGGCAGAGAGAGGGAAGATTCCTTCCTTGGAGGCTCCTTGGCACCGCGCCTGCTAAGAGGAAGGGGGCGGGGAGTATGATGAATGCAGGCTTTCTCCCCGCCCTTGGCCTCTAGCCAGGCAAGGGAGGAAACCCAAGGCAGAGAAGGGAAAGAGATGAGGGGGAGGGAGAAGACAGGAGGGATGGAGGAGGGAAGGGTCTGTTTGCTTTGGGAGACAGGAAGGAGAGCTGAGCTGGCTCTGAAAGGCAGGGTTCCCAAGAGCTGACCAGGCCACAACTATACCACATCAGCTGTGAAAGGAGCTTCAAATCACTGACTCATTACACTGGGAACTTTCATAGGATCAGATAATCTTAACGTCTCAGAACTGGAAAATCCTTCAGAGGGTTTTGTGTGTGTGTGTGTGTGTGTGTGTGGGGGGGTGTTCCAGGGCTAGCCTGAAGGAGCCTTAGCTCCCTAAGACATTTGCTGGACTGTTTCTCTCTTCCTCATAGTAGGAAGAGATGGCATTTTTAAAAAAGCCCATGAACACTTTGCATCCAATTCCAGGCATTTACAATAACTGAAAGATGATGAAGCTGACATCTTGTCTTTCCCACTGGTTAGTAATCTCCTGAGGGCAGAGTCCTTCTCACTCATCTTATTACCATTCAGACATGGCTGCCCATCAGAATTGCTTGAGAATGTTTACTAAAAACGTTTTCACACGCTCCAGTGATTCTGATTCCTCGGAGCTGAGTTAAGGGCTTCAAACTTGAGTTTTAACAGTGTGCTAAGTAATCAGCATGCTTTTAGGGAACAACTCCAAAGGGCTTGGCACAACAGAGTAGGTGCTAAGTGTTGCCTGCAGGAGCTGGAACTGTATTTGCAGTGTAAACAAATGGTGGCAGGAAGTATGGATTGAGCGAGGGTTTCTGTACCTAAGCACCTAACACTTTGAAAGGAAATAGTGCAGCAGTGTTAGCAATACAAAAGATAAATATTTATTTAGAACAAAATTTTTAACAATGAGTTTTACATTCTAAACCACAAGGAAATAGCAAAATAATGCAAACAAACGTAAGACAAAAACTAAAAGAAAAGTAGTGTATTCTCTTTTCTACTTTAACTTGTTAACACTTAGTTGACCCAATGTCCTCTTGCTTGGACTATTTCCCAAGTACTTGTTAAAGAGTTAACAACTCACTTATAATTCCGGGTTAAAATCGTCTTCTGCGAGTTATGAGGTTGCAGATGAGCTCCATTTAGCTGCTTCTCTGGGGTTTCTAGCTATTGAGGCTCAGGTGCAAATGTAAACCTTTGGTAGGTTTCCTTAAACAGGAGCACCCCCATTTCTCACTGTTGGCAATGAATGAGGAAGGGTAAGGCCCCAAAGGACCACGTACACCTTAATCCAGATATAGTACCCCAGGGGGCAATGAATGCACCCTGAATTACGTTCCTTTGTCCCTTTCTCCATCTCCAAGAATTCAGAAGCCCCTGCTAAATCTTCTGCTTCCTCCCCCAGATGATTTCTTAGCATTCCTCTGGGCTCATTTTTCTGGCGAGATCAGACTTTCTGGGCCCTGACGTGCTGAGGAAATTGTTGTGAAGTGTGAGAGGTAGTGGAATGCGCACCGGGCTTGGGGTCAGGGAACTCTACCCTAGGCTAGCTCTGGCACCAGACATGTAATTTTGACCCAGTCCTTTAACCTCCCTGGGCCTGTTTCACTGTTGGAAAACCAGGGGATTGGTCGAAACCAATTTTGGGGTCCTTTCCAATAGGAAAATTCTATTCTATGAAAAATGGCTTCTGAGCCACCGAAAGAGCTATCACAAAGTCCACGCGTTTTAATGCCTAAGACAGGCCCTTGGCCACCATTCAGAGCTTATTGATTCAGATTATATATACTTCTAACAACACTGGTTTTACAAATTCTCAGACCATACAGATTAGAAGCAGCAAATTAAGAAAGCCACAGTCAACAACGTTCTCAAGTCAACAAAACACTGATGGAGTGCTTATTATGTGCTGGGCCCCGTGCCTAGTGCTGGGTCACAAAGATGAGCAAGGCAGCCCAAGGCAGCCTAAAAGGGTAAAAACCCTAGAAGACAAGGTGTGGGGCGTAACAAACAAACAAACACACACACAAATCCCCCACAGAAATGAAACCAAAGTTTGAAAAGGGAGGGGCGACACATCTGCACACTACAGTCTCGGTAGTCGGTACTGATGACGAAGAGTCACCGATTCAGAAAAGGCTGAAATGGAGTAAACTCGGTTTAAGAAGGCAGAGAGAGATGTCTTTTTGTAGGTTTAGAAAGATCTCCTTCAAACGCGATGTAAAAAAAAGATTTAGAAAAAGTTTTGGCACTTAAGAGGGGTAAGCTGGCTCTGTGTTCACCTTGGCAGGCAGGCGGGTGTTCAGTGCCCGGCCACGCCGGTTAGCTGAGCTGCCACGGAATTGTGAACTGCTTTGGGACACTGGGCAAAGGCATGTCCTCGCTTGCCACAGAGGTTGCATACGATGCCTTTCCGGCAGTAAGGGCTCAGGTGCCCCTCCTCTCCGCACCTGAAGCACCTGTCCTGCGTGCAGCTGCCGCTCATGTGGGTCCTGGAACCACATTTAAAGCACGTCTTGGGCTGCCCCTTGTACCAGCTGTAGCCCCGCTCGGCCCCCAGAAAGAAGGCTCCTGGCAGGTGCCTGACCCCGCCCTCTCCCTGGCGCAGCTCGATCTCGCACTTGTACTCCCCGGTCCAGATCCCAAACCTGTCGGTTACTTTTACGGGCACGGCCAGTACATCGCAGTGGCGCTTCAGCCAGGTCACGATGTCCTCCACATCCACGGTCTCGTTCCGGAAGAGGATGAAGAGCGTCTTCAAGCTGGACTTGCTCCGCCCCAGCACCACAAAGTTCTCCCAGCAGTCTTCCTGCTCGCGCTTCTCCTCGTAGACGCGCAGGAACAGGGCCAGTTTCTCCGCTGAGCGGAAGCTCACGTCGAACTCCCGGCTGCCCGGGATCTGGATGACCGCATAGATGTCGCTCGGGTCCATGCCGATGGAGCGCAAGATGAGCGCGCCCACCACGAAGTCCCGGGTCGGGCAAGCGCCCTCGTCTCCCTGGAAACAGATGCGCACGAGGAAGCGGCCCTTGCCCGGACCTGCCGCGGGGCCCACCGCCGCCGCCGGTTCATCCTGGGGGGGCCGCTCGGCCTCGTCCTCTGCTGCGCCGGACCTGCCTGGGGTCGCCATGGCCGCAGTCTCTGCCTTCTTCCTCTTGCCCACCTCCGCTGCGCCCTTCTTTTTGCGGGCGTCCGCCGCTTCGCCAGCCGGGTCTCTCCGGCGGCCCTTTGGATCTCCGCGGCCCGCGGGGGGAAAGTCATTAAGACCCGGCGTCGCCAGGCCTGCGGGGGCGCCGAGTCCACCGCCTGCGCCGCTGCCGCTTTCCTCTTCCCGTCGCGGCGGCCGTGACTCGCGGAACTCGCCCTTCTTCTCGGCCAGATTCTTCACCACCTGGGCCCAGCCCATCTTCTCGCGGCCGACCTCGGCCTCCTCTGCCCGTGTTGCTGGGCGCGTGGCGGGCAGGAGCTGCGGCCGCCCCCGCTTCCTCTCCTCCTCGGCGCCGCCGCCGGTGGCCATTTTACCTCCTTCCCAGCATCCTCCACTCGCTCCCGCAGCCAAAGTGCGCCCATCGCGCGCGCCCGCCCGCCCGTCGGGGCGGTGGGGTTTGGGTTTTTTTTTTTTTTTTTTTTGAAATTTGACGCTTCTCTCCCCCGCCCTGCCAAAAAATATTTACACGCGGCGCAAGGCGGCTACAGCCGGTCCGGAGTCTCCTGGTAACGGCTGAACGGTGTTTCCGCCCGGGTTCGCTCCAGCCCCACCTCCTCGGCACCGACGCGGGATGGGGGAACTTGGAGCGCGTCCCTGTCCCTTGCAAGGGTTTGGCAGCCTTGGGCCTCGCTCTCGAGGATTTGGTATTTCGCAAGCGGTTCTCTATGATTTCATTTAAGCAGCGTTGCTAAAGGCCCACAGCCCGAAGGCGGGACAGAGTTGAGAAGATCTCGCCCATTTTTCTTTTTATACCTTTTTATTAAAAACAAAAACAAGCTTTCCTTCCCAAAGCGCAACCCCAATGCACTATTTTTCCCCCCAACATTGGATTATGAACATTTTCAAACAAAGAAAGTTGAAAGAATTTTACAGTGAACATTTTCCCTTTAATATTTTTTTACTATTTTCACATTAATATTTTACTATACCTTATCACAATACATCTATATCCATCAGTCATTACTTTTTTGGGATATATTTCCAAGTAGACCATTGTATTCTTTCTTAGAATACTCATACTCATGATGACATAATATATTGAGGGCTTAAGTGCCCTGTACTGTTCTAAGCGCTCTGCAGGCTTTATCACATGGAATCTTTCAAAACAATGCTGGAATTACACATTTTATAGGACACAGGGGCTTGGAGATGGGTTTAAATCATTTGACCAAGTGGCAGAGTTAATAGACAGCCCCGCATGTAGGTGGATTATATTGATTAAACGGCTTTGCTTCTGACATTGTGGATCAAGGACTATTTGCATCAGACTCTCCAGGAAACCTACCTCCTTAACACATAGATTCCTGGCTAAAGTTAGCACTGGATAGAAAAATCACTATTCCTCCCTGATCTGTCTAATGTTTTGGAAGCAGTGATAAAATTTGGGTGGCTGAGGGGGTGGGCTTAATATCACCTTTTGTCAGCTTTGTTTTCTTTCAGCATATCTGTGCATTTCAGGGTGCTTCAGTGATGTTTTCGACTTTAGTGAAAGAAAAGGTGGATTGTGGAGTCAGGGCAACCTTAGTTTGAGTCTTACTGCTTCAAATCTCAGCCTTGTTACATGGGACCAATGACCTCAGTTTTCATAGCCTCAATTTGCTCATCCATAGCAAAGGGATATTAATACCTACTCTCAGAGGACTAATGTGGGGGTTCAAAGAGATAATCTGTGTTAAAGAGCTTGGTCCATAGTGGGTTTTCTAGATAGGTTACAGAATTGGTTAATTTAATAGCTCAACAATGCTATCAAGGAACAGGTTTCCTCCACTTTCCCCTCTTCCACTCCAGGAAACCCCCCTCACAGTTCCACAATTCCAGGAATGCCACACAGATATGACAGTATCTAGCTGCAGATGAGGGAATGTTTTTCTGCAAAGTCCTTTTTATTTAAGTGTGATGAAAATCTTTCCCAAAAGTCTCTGAATAGACTTCTCACCCTGTCTCCTTGGTCAGACTTTGATCACATGCCTGTGACTAAACCTGTAACTGGCAAGGAGAATGGGCCCACCAAATCTAGCTCAGACCAATCATGACTACTGAAGCTGGGACTGGGGCTGGGGCCTCCCTCCTCTAAAGCCAGTGCATACCTGAACAAGATCAAGGGTGTTAGCTGGGTGGAGGGGAGAAATGGCTGTTGGGTAAGTAACCACCAGGGTCTTCCCCATATTGCTACCTCCTACTTTTTAACTGTTTCCTGGTATAGAGCTCCCCCGCTGGAGTGCTGTGGTACAGTGGGCTCTGCAAAGGCCCAACATGGTGATTTCCTCAGCCTGGATGGCCAGAGTACCCAGGCTGATTGCTGTACCATAGCAGTCTCATCTGTTTACCATAATGTGTAGTGCAATTTAAAACATTTTCCTATGATTTTTTTTTTTTTAAGATTTTATTGGGGATTTGGGGGTGGGAACAGCGTTGGGGAATCGGGGAAGGGGAACAGACAAGTTGCTGTCCTTTTGTTCTTCAGTCTAGTTGTGGAGAACTTTGCTTCACTGGCCCATGTTGGTATTGTCATCATTACACTCTTCCCAGTTGAGGCGGATCGGTCGCCGGCCATTGCATGGCTGTTCACGGTGGCTCATGGCAGCTGCCGGCCACTCATGCTAGCTGCCTGCCACTCACGGTAGCTTACGGCAGTCCACTGCAGCCCCACTGCAGCCAACACCGTCGCTGGCGACTCACGGCAGCCCAGCTCCAGGTCGAGCTGTTGTTCACCATCTTAGCTGTAGAGGGCACAGCGTCACTGGCCCTAATGTGGGATTCGAACTGGCGGCCCTGCTGCTCAGAGCCCGCGCTCCCAAGCCAACTCTTAACCAACAAGCCACTTGGCCCTTTCCTATGATTTTTAAGAGGTGGAGAAGGTTGGGAGCTCTGACCTAGTATTTTTTTTTTAATTGGGGAATTGGGGGGATGGGAACAGCACTGGGGAATTGGGGGAAGGGGAACAGACAAGTTGCTGTCGTTTTGTTCTTCAGTCTAGTTGTGGAGGACGTTGCTTCACTGGCTCAAGTTGGCACCATCATTGTGCTCTTCCCGGGCGAGGCAGATCAGTCGCCGGCTTCTGGATGGCCGCTCACGGCGGCTGCTGGCCTCTCATGCTGGCTGCTGGCCGCTCACGCTGGCTGCTGGCTACATACGGTAGCCCATGGCAACCCACTGCACCATGTTGTTCACCATCTTAGCTGTGGAGGGCAGTGTCACTGGCCCTCATATGTAGGATCCGAACTGGGGCCCTCTGGCATTCCAAGCCAGTTCTTAACCATCGCGCCACTCGGCCGGCCCTGACCTAGTATTCTTTACTAACATTCTCCTATTGAAGTTTAGGTGATTTCAAATTCTTTGCTTTCTTCAAATTATTTTTTTTAAAACTGGAATGCACTTTTAAATTTATGCTCTATTTAGCAAAATGGTAGTGTGGAGAGAGAACTGGAGTGGGACAAGAGTGGGAACCAATACTGTAATCCAGGCATGAGAGGAGAGTGGGGTATGTGTATGTGTGGATGGTGGTAGTAAGTGGTCTGATACCAGATATACTCTGAAGGTATTGCTGACAGATTTGGATGTGGGATAAGAGATGAGTCAAAAGATGAATCAAGGATGACTTCAGGAAGAGAGTTGTCATTTTGAGGTGGGGAAAAATGTTTCTGGGGAAAGATTGCACGTTAGTTGCCTATTGGGCACCCAAGTGGAGATGCCGAATAGGCAGTGGGATTTAGGTGTTTGGAATTCAGGGGAGAGGATCAAGATGTGAGTCTGGGAAGCGTCTGGGTAAGGATGGCATCTGAAGTCACAAGATCGGAAGAGAGCACATGGAGTGAAAGCGGATAGAGAAAAAGAGAGGGCCAGATCTGAGTCCTGGGGCAATCTGATAATAAAGGGAGAAGAGGATGAACCAGAAAAGAAGGTAGGAAGGTGGCTTCCTGGATGTCATGTTTAGAAAGTGTGTCAAGGAGGGAGCAATCCATTGTGTCAAATGCTGCAGATGGGCCAAGTAAGATGACTGAGAAATTACCTCATTAGTAGTGGAAGTCACTGGTGGCATTGACAAGGACAGTTTCAGAGGAGAGTGAAGAGGCAGAAAGGAATGGGAAATACGAATAGAGTAGGCAGACCTCTCTAGGAGTGTTGCTGTGAAGTGAAGCAGAAATGTTGGGAGCCGGCTGCACCTCAGTATCTGACATGCCTATCACACTGCTATTGGGACAAATCCTGAAGCTCTGGCTGAGAAACAGATACGGCTTTATGTTTTGAAAAATTTAAATTCCCCTTTGGATGCCCCCAGTAGGATAAAAGATCTGACACCCCTTCTTATATTGATTGTTTTATTTTCTTTAAATAA